GCTGTATATGACTAGCTGATGTCGGTGACTGCGTCCGCGCAATTGAAAAAGTAGTGAACTACAGATCCTTGCAGCAGCTCTGAAGTTATTGGTAACAAACATCCGACTATCCAAACTTCCGCATTTTAAACATTAGCAAAATTAGTATATAGTTATTGTTTCCGTCATAGAGATATATCTATGGTCTATTTCAATAAAGGAAGTCTTAGAAGTAATGGAAAACTCGCTGATAGTGATAGCAACAGCTAGTAGAAAAATAACGCTTATAAATAAAACCTTAAAGTAATAAATACCTAAAAAAGTACAAAAAAAAAGGGTCTAGTTCATTGCATTGTTTAAAAGTTGTTATTAATATTTCCAATAATTTATTTAATTATAAATCGGTTAAGATTATTCAAAGTTTTAATGGAATCACAACTTTAGCTTCGAGTCTCTTAAACTCCACGCTGTTGACTGAGTGTTCACTGTAGAGGACTTCTAAGTGTAATAAGTTCGTAAACTCTAAAGTGAAATAAGGTATTGGTAAACTTATACTATAACTTAGCGGTGGTAAAGATTAAATCTATATTAATATAATAAACCATAAACACACACTACGTTGTGGCCTAGGATGTCAGCAATCACAGCATATTTTTGAATAATTCCTTCTTTAATAAAAAGCTCTAAACTTACGACACGCTTTAGTCTATATATTTTCTCTCTATTAAGCTTGGGGTAAAATGGAAACAACCTTTGTATCAGAAAGGGACCAAACTACAAGCCGCCAACATTAAGGAAGTAGGGTTATTATGGTAACGGTAATTTTTACAATTGAGAACTGGACAAATGTAAACAACAAAATAAAGTTTTTTTTAAATTTCAACAGAACAGCTAGTTTGTTACAAAAAGGACTCTAGTGTTTATTCAATTTGACTTTAACTCTATTTTAATACGTATTCCTTATTTGTTTTATTATGTACTTTGGGAGGGTTTTAAGAACTACAGAATATATTTTATTCAATTAGGCATTAGCGGGCCTACGTAGTCTTATCTTCCGACCCATGCGGTATTATGCTGCGATTAACGATGAATAGGGTGTACTTCTAGTTTCCGAGTCTCGTTGAGTTTGATAATTTTTCTTATCGCGTCTTTTTTAAGGATATTACTTATTGTCACACTCAAGGACGAAAAAGATGACAGTAAATTTGTAATCGTATTCAAATCAAATTATACCTATTGAAATTGTCGATTTGTATATTCGGTTACCCGTAATTGTTCTATTAAGATATTCTATAAGAATCAATAACATCTAATAAGAAACGTAACCTTATTTACAATTCCTATAGGAAATAAATATTTTTTTAAAAATCAAATCTTATTAAATAGCAGAGTGTATCTAGTCAAAACAAGTAGTAATTGTAACTATTACTTTTAGTAGGAGGTTCAATCCCTTGCCAATGAAGTATTACATTCCTTTACATTAAAATTACTAATAACATTTATTTTGTAAAGTCAATAAATGTTATAGCTACAGATACTTCAACAACTAGGTTACAAAATCTAAGAAAGAACTAACAAAGAAGGTATGCGAGAAAAACCTATAATATATCCGTATAAAAGTTACTCCAGCATTACAATGACCTTTCTACGAATTCAAAGAGCGGTATTCTAATTCGATGTAGAGATTAAAAGTAGTCCGCCTGACCGTCTGATATCACTCCATTTCATTAGACTTTGCCTATTCACGAACGCCCCAGTTCCCATCTGCGTAATTTTGTTAGCATTTTTTATTGTTACCATAAGCCTCTACAACACAATAGATATTTTATAAAAACATTTATTATACCCGCATCTAGTTCTTGTGGTCAAAACATAATTTGTTTAAGTAAAACGAAGTAAAGCACCGAGAAAACATACATTGTCGGACCCTGAGACAAATTATCCACAAACTTTCTACAATGTAATACAGTGTTATAATGAAATAATGAAAAAATAATACTCACCGCACGTACAGCATAGCATTCGGCAAAAAGGAATCCACTTTTGTATTTTTATCGTAGGCAAATATCCATTAATCTCTCTCAGTTTGAAATAAACTTTTAAACTATGTTTAAACTTTACTTGCCGGAGCGATGAAACGTAAAACAATAAACTTTAATTATTACAATTTCGTTTACCAACGTTATCAGAATCTTAAAATATTTGTGTATTTATAAATTTAATTTATTCGCGATATACAAATACATTCGTATTTCAGTAAAGGGAATGACGTGCGCTCTCCTAGAATCCTGAAATATTACTGATCCGCCGACTTCAGTAGACACACATAGCCGCTCCACGTTGTCTAGGAACCATACGCAATCATTGCAACAGCTTTTCTTGTGTGACCATCCATTGGAGCGTTGTGAAATCGGTGCGTATCGTACTAACCAACGAAAGCGGCATTGTATACGAAACGTTTCGTTGTTGTGAAAAATTAAATAAAAATCTAATAGCAGGAAACAATAGCCGTAAAGAAGGCATAAAGCAGATACGGTCATCGGGCAAAAGCGACAAGAATAAAGTTTCACGGCGATACAGAGCGTGGCTTTTCATAACTGAAGCTATTCCAAGCTGTGTGCTTCTTATTACTGCTTTATTGTGGAACTGCTTGCAATTTCATTTTACGATGGACGTAAACCCCATTAGAGAGAATGGCGTTAAGTATCACAAATTACGTTTACTTTATTTTTATTGTTCTTATCAAAGATGTGGTTCAAAATATAAACAAGAAAGACATGTCTTGCGGTTTTTTCCACCATCAAAAGTTGTCTGTGAGTAAAACATTCTATATAAGATTCCTGAAATCTTTATCTCTCGTAATGCATGTTTTTATATCTAACAAATTGACAGGAAGATGGATAAGAAACCCATGTTCTTCGAACTTTGGCAATACTCCTGACATTAAGCCATAGTGAAGAAGGTTCAAACACATTCGGCACAGTTCTGTACTAGTTATCATAAAAGTTTTTCACAACCATATCTCAGGTGATTCGGCATTTATTTCTTACCAACTGACAAAGAGTGTAATGTTTGTCGTGGTAAACGTATGTAAATTCCAATGTAACAGCCTCGTGCTTTAACTACTGAACCGATTTTGACAAACGAGATGTCTTTTGATTCGTCTTCTTCGACGGGTTTTAGAGTATATTGCATCAGCACAAAACATCTACAATGGTCATGGGAATTGAAATTCTAAAAAAAGGTTAAAAACTAACTTCGAATCTCACTTGCCATAACTGTCTTCCTTTTTCCTAAATATTTTTCTCGGTGTTTTCGAGTCCATTCACCTAATAGATTTAGTAAGTCGGGTCTTGTATTTAGGTTAACTTGTAAATCTAAACACAACTGAAATGTGGTAAAACGAGAAACCACCGTACTTGTGTAATGATAGCTAACCTAATGACGTCACTTAATTGTACTGGGTGTTTAGTAAATTATTTCACCTCACAATTTTTAAAACTCTAAGACAATGTTTATGATTCTGTTGAAACTGTTCGAACTGTGATGTTGGTCTACTGTGTTTGTATATTTTAGTAATCGGATTAACATATTCGAGACAAGGTCGAGTAAACAGTTTATTGCTGTCATGTTATTTTGGACATTATCCATAAATTCCATGTCAAAACAGTCTTGTAAATTTGATGTGTCTTAGGAAAATTTCTTTGAAAATATTTCTAAACCTTCAATATGAAATGACGAATTACCCACATTTTTCAAATAATTTTTATTTTACTTTTAAGGAATAGTTTTACCCAGATTGTAGACTTTCGTTTATTGTGCTCTTAAGTACGAAGGTTAAAAAAATTTACTCTCAGAAGAATGATTGGTTCATTAACGCTTTTACTACAGGCAGGGACGTTAATAATGTATTATTTATTATTATTTGATGTAATATGTAAAATTATTATTCGCTTACAGGTTAAAAAAAGCTGTTCATATACAGTCCTTCTAGTTAGAAACATTTAAATTGTTTTAATCAAGAAGCAAAACCCCTTTTTAATTCGTTATCTATGTCCAATAATAGGAAGCCTTGATCAAATTAATTAATTCATCGTCTACGCCCACTAATTAAGTATTCTGTTCTGTCTGTACTATCGCTTAGTCAAATTTATTTGATGTTCAAAACAATTATATCAATAAATAAATAACTTTTCAGGCAACTTCCCAAACCCTCGTCCAATTTAACTATGCGTCAAAATGCTTAATACGTTTTAGTCGCAATAAATTTTCTCAAATCTTGATCCTTTGGTGCTTTTGTTGAACCTTACTTATTACTTGATAGAATAAAAGTTTAAATCGAATAACAAATAGGGTACAGTGAAATAATAACTATGGTAACAAATGAAAAAGCCATAGTTATTGATAAAATCCATAAGTTAGGGTCTGTCCCACAAAATTGTAAATTGTCTGATAACAATCCAACGTGTAAAATACGTGATAGAAATATCGGATTTTGTTACTTTATCTGATAGTGACGTCATTTTTAGCTATCTGAGCTTCTATCAGCCAGTGGTGGGACAGGCCCTTAGTATTTTTGACATTGAAGTTGGGATTTCAATATTTTACTAAAATGGCGTTAATATTTCTTATATTTACAATCATAATCTTAATTTAATTACGTGATTGATTTTAATTGAGTTAAATTGTTGTGTTCTGTAAAGGTATTTAATTAAAATAACTCGTTGAAAAAGAAAACAATTGTTTTTCTACAAAGCCAACATTTTATTCACTTAATCCGATCATACATACGGGCGTAATGTTAGTACGAAATGTTTTGGATAACTGCACAGTAATAAATATATCTAATAGGAGTTTTACGTCAAGACTTGAGTATACAAAAATAATACATCTAACATTTAACATTTCACTTAAGTACAAATTCATTGTCAATAAATAAATAGAACGGCACATTTAAAGTTTTTTTTTTTAAATCTAGAATTCTATCATGTAATAATAAACATGATTTTAAGGCAACACGATTTTATACAATATAAAGCTATGCGTATACAAAATTACATACGTATTACGTTATTCTTTTTTTTTACATTTATTACATGGCCAAAGGAGGAGTTAACATTTGGAGTAAGTTTCTATATATTTAGAACATGGACAGATTGCATATAAAAACACTTATTTTTAATATAAACTGTTATCAAACGGAATTTATACCGTTAAAATTACTGTAGTTTTAGTAATATTTGATATTTTGTATATGTTAAACTCTAAACAACTATTTTGCTACAAAATACAGCTAAAATAAACCAAGACTTTTGTAATAAATTCATATAGGAACACTGTCTTCAGTTCAAGATCATTTTGACGATCACTGGCTGATTTAATACTTGACGAGGAAAATGTTTACATTTGTTAAGTATAATAATTATGGCCACAAATTACAAGCAAGGTACATATAGCTTTTATAATATTTAGGACCTGTCCCACCACTGGCTGATAGACGCTCAGATAGCTAAAAAATGATGTCACTGTCAGCTAAGGGAAACAAATCCGATATTTCAATCACATATTTTAGACGTTGGATTGTTATCAGACAATATACAATTTGGTGGGACAGGGCCTTATTCAGTCAAATTGCAAAACTTTAAACTATCGGTTGATAATGTTTATCAGACGAAGTCCAAAATAATTGTTTAAAACTGGTTTATTATCTATAATATTATGTATTTTATACTATTGTTTCAATAAATTGTTATACCTTATAATTATTGGCACTTAAGTCACTTAATACATTTACAACATTTCTTTTACTGTGTCAGTTTAAATTTACAATTTCGAAACGAACTACTCTTCAACAGTATTCATTACTTCAGAAAAACTCAAATCTCCTCGAATGCATTTCTAACTATATACGAATAAATAAATGACATCTTAAAGTAAAAGTAAAGAAGTAATAAATAAAAATATTATTAATAAAAGAAAGTAGAAAATAAAGCAGAATAAGTTAAATGTATGTTACATCGAAGCAATCTTCACATCGTCATTTTTTAAATAGATAACTAGCCTACAATAATAACAATAAATAAAATCTTAAGGCACTGTATTAGGTACCAAGATCACAATTTCATTATATTTTACACATGTAGAATGTTAGTACGTAAAAGATTAGAGGCATGGAATGTCTAGTTACAATCGTAGAACACGGACACGAGTAAACTTTAGTGTCAAGAGAGAAATAAGATATAATCAGAGCCACTTAAGTAAGATAAACAATATTAAATAGTATCATACAACTATACTTATAAACAAAACATAAGCGCATACATTTAAGTATTTCTGCATTGTGCAGAATAACAACACCGACACAATTTACAAATATACGAAAGTCAACTGCAATCCGCAAAAATATGTCTCTTACACTACTTCATAAATACAATTTCAATGGGTTAATACGATAAACGTAGTCGAGGCGTCCTATGCAGCAGACTAATAATTGCATTATTGAGAGCCTATTTACACATTCAGTTCGCGTCGTATTTACACTTGGATACTATTTACATAATCCGTCAAAGGCACGTCCCGCGCGCAATATATTGTTTTAAACGGTCGCCGCACTGGCACGTCACTAACGATATTTATATGTTGAAGGCAAGACGTAATCTCCAAAGGAGTACAGAGCGTTGGCGTACCAATGTACGCCGCGCGGCATCTCTTCGGATTTGCTCCAACTGGCCATCCATCGCAGGGGCGCCATCGCGGCGTGTGCTAGCGAATGACTGCTGACGAGTGCATAACACGACGCCAAAGCATCATCAACTATGATAGTGCCCGCTTTAGTGAGGGGCGCGAACACTCCCCGTCTCTTCACCATTTTCGTGTGAACCACCCTTGACGGTCTCATCACACTTCCCGTTCCCCTCGTGAGTAGAACGTCGCCTAGTTTAATGTTAACGGCAAAGGACTCTCGCCAGCCGTCTGCGGCCGCTAGCAGCAACAGATGCGATGGTGTCGTGGTTATGGTCACACCATTTTCGGCAGTAATTTCCATAAACTGCCTCGTTGCGTTTGGATCTCGATCTATAAACGTCAAGACCTGGAAATGAAAATACGTTTGATTTTAGTAACGTAGTCAAACTCTGTAAGATGTTTTAATCAATAGCATGGTAAATATCGATGAGGATATCTGGGATGTAAATTTCACTCTTTTTTATCTACTATTTTGTCTAAAAAGGCTACCGACTCATTTATCATTTGTTCCATAATACAAGCTTCTAACGTACAATCACTCTTAGCAACAACCTTTCGATACCAGATTGAACTGACCTCTGAATATATCATCTTGCCGTCGTCTGCCGCGGCGAGCACGCGGTCTCCTTTCTTGAGAGAGTCGATGTCTCGCGGCCCGCTCTCCGTGTACACAATCGCGCCAGAGGGAAAGCACCCGGCGCCTGTACCCACTGACGATTCTGAAATTATAACGACGGTAAATTAGAACAAATATTAATACACCATACAAAGAGAACAGTTAATTTGAAAAGAGTGTATTTCATAGTAAATTTTTAATTAAATCCTTTCTTTCTTATAATTGATCAACACACTACACTTTGATCACTACAATTTGATCAAACATTAAACAATATTTTATATGTCGTTTATGTTTCGAATAAAAAGAATCGTCTCTACAATTTAAAAATACTTCAAGAAAGTCTATTTTTTTCATATTTTCTCTGTAGAGTTCTTTGTTACAATATCAATCAGGTTTAGGACTTATTTAAATAAAACCCTGCGTTGTTTAATAATAAATTAGTCCGATGCAGTTCAATCCATTTAAGGAATAACGAGATTCCTCAACATTCGTAATTAAAATCCGATAAGATACGAAACAAAAGGGTAACGACGAAACCGAAGAGAAGGCTTTCTTGTCCGCGCGGGTTATCTGCGTTCAGCTTAACAGGAATTTGTTTCATACAGGTAAACCCTTTGTTACACTCGCTCCGAGTCCGACAACCTTTACTTGCTAGTAATTCATTTAAAAAAACATTCAAAGAATTCCTTAATCACATCCCCAAACAACTTTTTAACGTGTCAAAAGAAAAAATCAATCCGTTTTGTTAATTCTTTAAGGCCATTGTTCGCAAAAAATCTACGAAAGTCAAAGTAAAACTATATATAGGTGAGCTGTATTTGTTTATTATCTAATAGTATTTATTTAAATCCTTATCCTGCTTATGTTACCTGTCCGTAATCTGCATGTTACAAAAAAATGTGTATTTACGTGCGAATAAATGGTATGAGAAGATAAGTCGTGGGTCGTAAGCTGACGTATAGATGAGATGAAGAAAGGAGAGTGAAAAAGGAAAGTACAGTTGGGCGGCTAAAGAGAGTGCGGCGACGGTTGCCGTGGGCGGTACATTCACACGCACAAGTGCACCCGGAGGTGGCATTGCAAGACCCGAGTTTGCGCGGGCTCGTTAAATTTTGATTTGTTGTGAAACCGAGCGATAAATTCGGCGGATCCCGGTCATTGTGAGCGGCGGCCGGCGGCTCGCATTACACAATAACACAAATTAGATTTCGTTCAAAGTCAAGCTCTCGCTGTCCGCATTTTGTTTGTTGTCGACTGAGCATATCATACGAATCATTGAATAGCAGTCGGCCACCTTTGCTTTTTTGCAAACCTTAATACCTCTTAAAATGGCTTTTAAATGTATTTGTTGCGCTTATTCCGCAGCCGTTTCCTGTACATGGAATTTCATTGATCGATTATTTACATGTACAAGTTATATGCTTATGTTAATTGTTTGATGTATGTATGTTTAAGTAAATAGCTATTAATTGAGCAAACACAGCTAATGATGTACATATTTAAAAGGTTACCAAATCATCAATGTGATAAAGCACATATTATTAAAAAACGAGTTCTCGAAATTACAACATTGTCCTAACTCTAATACCTTGCATGTATAATCTTATTATTACAAGTAATACGACCTCTTTTATTCAACAATAAAGGAAACGGTTAGGCATTGCCTAAGGTATTTGATTCTGCAAGATTTTGCGGATAAGATATACGATTAGGAAGGTGGAGGTTATCGATATTCGCGGTCCTGACCTCAGCCGTGAGCACTAATTCGAGGCCCCGAGACCAGTCGTTGTACAATTATGCGGCGTGACGTAAGTGAAGTTAGGCTGAAGATGCGACGATAAGCGGCGCGGGCGCGGGCGCGGGCAGGCTGCGCAGGCGATGGCGCGGGGCGTGCGCGGGGTGCGCGGGGCGGGCGACGCGCACGCAGCCGAGTGGCCGCGCAGACCCCGCCCCGAGAGGACCACCGGGCGCGCTAGGCGGCGCTCGACCGCCTCGCCGCACGACCAGCCCGGCGCAGCGCAACATGCCCGTGCCCTGCCGTGCCCACATCACACACACTCCTCATACTTCGATTCTATTCATGCCATCACTAAATGTGACCTACATCCTGGTACCATCTAGTGCTGATATAATTAATAATAATAAAATTATATAACAGACTGTTACAAATACGTTTGATGCTTATATGAAGCAATTGAAAAGTACGAATCTCAAAAAAATACGCAGTCAAGAAATATTAAAAAAATATTTAATTATCATAACTTATAATAAACAAACGAGAGATGACGAATTTTGATAAAGTGCATTATTGTGATCACGTTTGACTTATTCTTATTTATAGTCTTTTTGATACAGCTTTAATCCGCATTTATTACGTTCCTTCGCCTTTTTGGAGGTTATTTAACGAACTATAACAATCTTGATGGTTGCAACGTATCGAATAAAATGAGCCGTATATGCCGATAACAATGTAAGATCTCGCCTTAAGCGGTCTATATATCTATGTGATTTATATCGTATGGAATAGCAATTAGTCGGCCCGGCCGCGTGGCCATGCAAATGCCAAACCATCGGTTATGATTCATGCGGCCGGCCCGGAGTATCATCATATACCAAGTTAAAAACCTACCGATACTTTTATTTAAATGCAATATATAAAAAGAACATGTCAGTTTTAACCCAACAGAAACTGGAATTTTACTACGTAGCCGAGAGCGACGAAATCTATTTTTGGTAATCATTTATTGTTATATCTAACAACTAACAAATAATATAGTTTTTACTATGTTATAAATCGCTAATAAGGCTGTATAAAAATTGATGTTTTTTTTTAGATTCTAGGCAACTGGTATTTAAAAAGGAACAACAAAATTTAACGAGGTAAAGCTTCTCGGGTTCGCTTAAAAGTCATTGCTCAGTTGCAATAAGAATACGATCGGCCACGCGATGTACGATATGCCGCCCGCCGCCGCCGCCGCCGCCACCGCCACCGCCCCGCGACTCGTTTTCAAAATGATTTAAAGCACAAATAAGCGACATCAGCCCTTCTAATATAATATGTATTTATGTCTCATATTAACATAACTTACATACTCTAAACATTACAAGACGACATTTACGATATTGAATAAAAGATATCACTTACATGTCATTTCAGAATAGATGGACATGCAAATTATTGCGAAATATTTTCATAAATGCACATTGTAATGTCAAACAGAAAAGCTGTTATAAAATGTAGCAATGCCAGTAATCGTTACGTTACCTATTTTATGTTTAAATCTACAAGATAAAATAAATAGTTAATAATAAAATTTACGCGTCTTTTCGAGTAAGATAATTATTTGTGCTTTGCCGTGTGCTTTAGATTTATACATTATTTTTTAGTGTGTGTGTGTAATGGAGTACAAAATTATACAAATAAATGATACCCTATAAAGAAGCCACGCATGACTTAAAGCAAATCTAAATTATTTGAATTCACTTAAAAGTCAATTTTCTTTATTTCTGCCAGTAAATATTTAACATCTGAAAAACTATAAGCTTCTCTTCAACGAATTATTTGTTTTGTGATGAACTCTAAAAGTTTAAAGTAAGTTTTATTGTCAAATATAAATTGAAACTTTACCACCCTTTTTTCTAATGTGTTTTTCATCCATAGTAGTTAATTAAAACTATTGCCTTAGTCGACGTAGTCGATTTATTTAATCATAAAATTGGCCAGTAATAAAGCAAATATTGATGCGAGTTCACACATTAATACAAGTTGAACGGTATGAATGTGAAAAAGGGTGAATTTGTGAGAACGTTGCGGGAGCAAACCGCAACCTTCCGGGATGTGGCGTGTCGAGTGTCGAGACAACGGCGCAGGCTTTCGCACGCATGCCCCGAGCGCGCTCGTCCGCTCACTAACTCCTCTACTTGTTTTTTTTTTATTAATCTGTGATCGCTTTTAACGACCTTCATAGCTCAGACAGAATATTAACGATCCACTCCGAAAATGTATGTTTATACACTTTGCTTAACAACACAAACATAACGTTCTATTTAAGGTTGTTTTGTTGTTTACACCTTGGATTATTTCACATCATTTAACATTGTTTTTTTTTTATAGTAGTGGTAATTTGACAATTACATGTTAAACGAACTTTTCCTTCCGAGAGAATAACAAAATTACAAGAGAATGCATTAATTCTGCAACTACAAATAACCTGGGATTATAAGAAATATTTAATATCTATCAAATCGCATCCCAAGATTTAAGCAATTCCTTATTTTCTATCTTTATCTAGGTATCTGTTTATGTTTGTCGGCATTCTATTGCCTGCATATTTAATGGCACAAACCACAAATTTATATTTTAGTTATTCTTTTACTTGCTTTTATAAAGTGCAGTTCTTTGAGTGTTTTTAAAATAACCTTTTTTATTAAGTATGTGATTTCAGTATTACCATTATTAAAATATTCTCAAATGTAGAAAATAACTCTTTAACAAAATTATAAGTTTAATATAAATGTGTAACTAATAAGTAAATGACGTGTTGTGGAGGTATAACATTAAATGGAACATTTATAAAGGAAAGATGGTCTAGCTCGTGACCTGCCTCATACAACGTCAGTCACGCCCCATTTATCCGCGCCTCCTCCGTGTAAAGCAACCTTTACTGCCTGTCACATTGTTCCTATTCCTCGAATTACATTTTTACTACATTTAAATACAAAGACAATCGTTCAACTTTAACATTTTATAGCTTTCTGCTTTTATAATCTCGATTTTTTCTAAAGAGTAAACTTTAAATTGACTTAGAAGATTTTAAAAACATCTCACGTTTTTAATTACTCGCTTTTTTTACTTTTTAAAATTATATCTGAATTTTTTTTAAACTTCATGCGACACGTAAAACGGAACGCGTTGATGTCTTTAAAACTGAACTGATGAACTGTGATATTTGCTACGGATATAAAACAAGTCAAGCAAGGATTAAATATAACACGTATTAAATTAAAAAATAAAATCTTAATTCACTATTAATGATACGCTGTTTGTTTTTTTACAATTTATATGATCACTTTGCCTTTGAAAAATCCCGTCGCTCTATTAAATCGTATACAAAACGAAATAATCAAGACCGACCAATAAAAATCAATTAATTCAAACCTGTATAAAAAAGCTCGCCATTTTATTGGTGGCATGATGATCGAGTGCGATAGTTTAATTTGATATAGTGAGCGTCAGCCCAGCGCCGATGTTTACGGAATCTTATCTACAAAGCCGAACGATTTGTGACACTTGACATTAACAGCTCCCCTCTGATGTACCCGACACATGAATGCACTTTTCATCTGATTTTTAATTAAATAATGATTTATCTCTAGCAAATAACAGGAATATAATTTAATCATGTCTACGATTTGATTAATTATGTAGATGACGGAAATTGGAAATTTAATAGATTTATTAATTTAACTTTATAATTCATTTGCTTTCAAATGTCCGTTTGACGATGTCTAAAAAAATTGTTTGGATATCCATAATTCAAAATGGCGGTGTTCAAGTGACGGAGTAACGACTTAACTTCGTCTAAATACGCTTTTAATAGAAATCGATAAAGGATCAGAGCTGTTGAGAGTTATTATGATACATATGGTGTCAGGAAACGTTTTTCACGTATAATTGTTACTATTCAAAAGTATGTGAGAGAGTGCATTTGATAGGATGTATAATGTCGTGCATGCCGCATCCTTGACACCGCGAGCCGCGACCGCAACGCACAAAGGTCATTAATTATTTATGAGTTCCAAATTATTACTAAAACGTCCCCCGATTGAACTAAACGTCGGAATAAATGAATAAACATCGAAACAAATTGACTGCGACCGATCCGAAGGACTATCAGTGGCTGAGCTTTTGAAACAATGAAGGACTTTTTGTCTTTTTTCAATGATAAATGGCCGTTTAAGAGCCCCCTCGCTATGTTTTACCCGAAACCTTTAAACGTTAAATATCCACTTCGATTTGACAATGATATAAGAGTATTGGGCGTTTTTTTTGTATTTGTTTTCTTTGGTTTTAGAATGATAATCGTCTACTACACAATTAGACGTACTTAGTTGTATTAACGTGTTTTTATCTAGTTGGGTTTTTCACAAATCAATGCGTTTATGATATTCAGCACGTAAGCAACATGCAGAAGTAATAGTGATCATATGTCATGTCAACAAACATATTTAAGTTAGTGTTAAAGTTGTTACAAATTACTTACGCTAATTTAGCCTAAGTTTAGTGTAGATATGTTTATGTAATGAATTAGTTAATCACAACAAGTGGGAGCACATAGCTCCACGCAAACGTCGGGGTTTCGCTTTCATCGGCGATTGGTAATCAGCTCAGTTAATTGGAACTATGAGCGTCAGAATGCCATCATGGACTCTAACGTGTACATACATATAGAGGCTCGTTTCTCTCGACGTTATGCTCTATACATAACTATAAGCCATTGAATCACCGGTGTAATTATAGAAGTGGGGGATTGGCTGCGATGCGGCGATGTGCGAGGGAGAGAGTGGTCTTTGTACTGCGGCCGGGAGCGAGAGGGATGATAACAAGAGGCTCGTTCGTCCGTTTGATCGACACCGCCGGCGCGCGGGCGCGGGAACTGTCCGAGGTGCATTCTTGTAACTCTCAACTATATATTTGGCCCGTCCCGTAGACAGTTAATTATGTACCGAAATTATAAAAAAAGGGAGATAAAAAATTGAGATCCGTAAATGTCCTTTTTTAAAGTTGATATTATATGACTTGACATTTATAGGCCATCATATTCAAAATTTTTAGTGTTTATATTGAACCAGCAATTTAAATAAGATTCAATAAAGTTTCATTTGAGTAAGTATTGTTTAAGTTTTTGACAAGATTTTTTTTTATTTAAAAATAACATTGGACTATATTTAACAAAGTAATCATAACAAATTCCATACGGAGTATAAGCTAAGTAGCCGGCGAGGCCCATGCGTCATGCTAAAGATTTAAACGCATATCTTAGGTCAACAATTCTAGATATTTGTTTGCGAGAGTTAAACATCAAGTATAAAACATTATCTTGCATATTCTCTATCGCCTTTTATTTCATTTTATTTAATAACTAGGTTATCAACGTACAAAATTCAAATACTTGTGGCGCAGGTTGCAAATATAACTATCTCAAGAAGTATTTAAAATATATTGTTAGTACGTACCTGTTTTAACAGAACAGTGTATGTAGGAGCGACTCTCATAGTAGACCCAGTCGAAGCCGGCTTCGACGGCGAGTCGCGCCAACATGCCGTACTTGCTGCTGTCGCGGTCGCTGGTCGTGAGATCCACGGCTCGCCCCTCGTAGTGCAGCGAATGCTCCTGGTGTGAATTCTCCTCATCCCAGCCTTCGATCACCCGCAGCCGCACGCCCGGCCACTGGTTCATCACGCTTATAGCCAGCGTGTTCAGCTTCTCTTTGCAACGCTGAAAACGTAATTTTGTTCATGTTAATTTATAAACTCTAAGTTGAAATATTATTATTACGAGCTAACTACATTCAACATTGAAGTAACAATAATAAGAAAGTGATAAACTTTGAATACACTATTTAATTTTATTTGACGTCTTGATAGTTATTAAACAAGACGGCGATATTGATAGATTCACACGTGAAATGTTTATGTGGTATGTCTACAGAGTCTATTATTGTTTTCAATATCATTATTAAAACAATGATTGGTAAATTACGGATAGCATTACATTGTACAAGCAAATTCAATGACATGCAATGGGTTTTCAGGAAACAATTCCACAGTAAAGCGCGAATCTTTTTGTTTGCACATCCTAAAGAAAATACCAATAGACGTGTTAACAAATAGACAAACGCCGCCGCCGCTGAGGGGCGCCGGGGTCGGTGCGGGGGCGCGGGATGTCGAGCGTTTTGTCGTCGAAGAATAAATCAAATTAAAACACGCCGCACAAAGGAATCGACACGATGCCATTTGTGAAATAACTTTGTGGAGCAAATAAAGGCAATGTCAAAATATTTATAAAGAAATGCGGACAATGCGCCACGCACCGCACGCTAGCTTTGTGTCCCCATGTCAACTCACTCTATGCAGATTCTCTGTGAAAAAATTCGAGAGATTGACGTAACGAATCGAACCGATGGGCGTCCCGCTTAGATGACTCGCTCGCTCGCATTCAAAGTAACAGATATTTTGAAGCACCGTACATAATTATTTCTACGAATGTCTTAAAGTAATAAAGAGTTGGTAAAATCATCGTTTCCGTCCAATATGTACAACAATAGTTCGGATGGTAATTCCATATGTCTAAACTCACGCGTAATATATCATTACATGAATGCATTAGATTCGCTTGATCTGTTCAAAAAACTGTTAACTTTAGAGTTAAGTGGCGTTTATTTATAAAGAAATCTCAGTTTCTAAGGTAATTATTGTAAATCATATCAGTTAATTATGATCTAAACGTTTGCTACATACTTTCTCGCTTCTAACACAGTAAAATTTTATATTGCATATGAATTTATTTACCCAAATTAGAAAACAGAGTTTATTTTGACTAACAGAAGAGTTGGCTGAAAGAGATAGAATTAAATTAAATGTTTTAGTAAACGAGTTGTGTTGACAGGTAGACGAGAGAGGCAAGGTGCGGCGAGGCAGGGCGAGGCACTGCCGCAGCACGGGATGCTCAATGTTTACTTCCCCGCGGTCATCTCGGCCCGCACTAAAACAATCGAATGCTAAATGTATACTCAAACACTTCGTGCACTTTAACGTGGGAACACGACGGTGGCGCAATTAGCCTCTCGCGCCGCACCACCATCCAAATCGTTGCTTTCACATTTTTTACTATTAACATAGCAATAGAAACATTTATAATTAAAGTTTGTTCGTTCCTAAAAATATTTTAAGGTTTATTTTTCTTGTCTGTCTGTTATGAGAAGAATTGCATCCAAAGTGATTATAATATAATTTTGATATGCGCTAGCGGTATGCAAGCGAAGCTGGATCTGGTAAGAAGAAGCGACGAGACGTTCCCGGCGGGCCATTATAAATTCATTATGCATATTTTTAGTAAACAAGCTGTCGATCACAATGCTCCGGCACGGCGGGACGCCTGCCTCTGACACCTCTCCAGCCCGCCTCGCCTCGTGTACCCACGTATCCTAAAACCACGATCGCCTTCGCCTCGGAATGCAACTACACCCAATGAGCATTCGACAATAAACGAGTTTTTATCACGGGCACGATTAATGAAATATATATTCGCATATTATCGAATTACACCACATCGAAATCTCAAATTCGACTACATTGATTAACTAAAAAAAAAAACGTAACGAGCGTATCGAATACCTAAGGTCAAGATTTGTAGTGAAACGCCAGGCTACCTGAACCGGTGGCGAGGCACCAGCGGTCGCATAATGAAGGCCGCCTGATGGAATTGAGGCAAAAATCGAATAAAAACTTAAAGGATCATCGCACTGAAGCAGCGGGTGCGGTAACGTGAGAACATGAGCCGCGCTCTTCGACTTCACGCGAGCCTCTCATGTTACCGAGTTAGGAGTTCGCCGAGCTCGACACATCGGCACATTGGCCACTGACGACTCGATGCCACTCGGACGCTCGGCTCACATGTAAATAGAAGTAGGCGAGTAATGGCCGGCGATTGCCGACGCATCATTCGCCACCTTGCCGCAGCGTAGCCGCCGCTAATTTATAACCGCCTCCCTACGCGACCATAACAATATATTAGGATAATTAAATGGCTCTTTACATTCCTTAACACGTCGTTTTTTGTACAAGGCCAGCAGTCGAAAAGCACCGACCAATGCTGACTGGTTTCGATGTTACGTTTTTTGTTTTTGTAGAAACCACAACAAATAGTTTAAGGGCGCTTTTTTATAAGGTAGGTAGTCCATTCACATGGGTTAAGCGAACTTATGTTAGTCATTTGTAAGTTCTTTCCTCTCTCTTGTAAAATTAGTTCTATTATAAAACGTTTCTTAGAACTAACCATACCTTTCAGGGTGCAAATAGTTAAATTACTTTACATGCCTTTAGCTAAGACTTAATTGAAAACAATTGAGTGCTAATTAATAAACATTCAATTAGCTCGCCAGAGGATATTATTCATAAGCGTATGTTTACTAATAAATGAGCACATAGCAAACATTTGTCCACAGCAAGCGCGACATAGTGCGGACGGCGACGGTCGGACACATCATAAATATACATGTGAAGGGCGGATCACCTGTGTGAATGTTTATGTTCGAAGCACTTTAATGTTTGCTCACGAAAAATATCTCCCTTTGTTAACTCTACGCGGCTGTCGTCAGTTTTGGGCCACCGAGCTCATTTCTATTCTTATCAACGAACAAAATTAATTCAGTCAATATAGTCACTTTATCTAACACTTTTAAGGTATGTTATCGCTTTAAAGCTTACAACACATTAATAAACAATAATATACTTAGAAGGCTTTTAAGTTTTAAAAAAATCGTAGTGACAGATCATAAATTGAAAATTTACATTGATATTGACAGTTTATTTTTTATTTTGATAAAAATGAATTCGTTTTCAATATAGATAAAATGGTTTTTGATATACCAACCGAAACCAATATTTAAAAGTATGTTGAAAACATACTTGTTTTGCTAGCTATACATACAACAATTTTGACCTACTAAATTTTGACCTAAAAGAAGACTTTTCAGATAGTACAAATAACAATGATGTACACATGTTTGTATTAAATGGACGTGATGGGCATTATAAACAATCAATTATTCATCTAAACTCTATTATTTAATTTTGTATGATTTATTTACAAGAAATACATCTTGAATAGCAACAGGTGCAAATCCATTCATGTCTCGTTTGTCCCGATTGTTAGTAGTCTCGTATCCGATTTGTTAAGGTTGAATTCTCAATAACGTACAAAGCAAATTGTACTTAATACCTATGGGAAAGATGCGACCGTGTTATTTATATTATCGTGATCAGTAACGGGCAGCGGACAGCGAGCTGATACGAGGGTCAATGGCGGAGTCAATGAGAGCATGCCCACTAGTCGCGACGTGCAAGTCACGCCATGAGAAAAGGAATCCACGCTTCCGACATCGATCTTAGTATACCTTTGTTTATTTCTGTACAATTTATAATACAAAAGATGTCTGTTACAATATTGAAATGAACATTCGCGTGTTTAAAAACATAAAGGTGGAAAAATCACTAACGGACGCTACTTAATTTCAGAGTGGATACTTAACCGTTCCCGCGTAATTATACTTTTCGCGAAATCGCGTGCGAAGGCTATAAACATTACCCGTATGGTGCCAATTTACGGCGTCAACCCTCCGCGAGCCAATAACTCGAGCTGTTGCTGATCGATTTGCATCCGTAATTACGTCACTTTAAGCGAAACAGGTGATGAAAACGAGACAAGTATGTACGTGATCGTCGACGTCGTCGCCCGCCCCTCGCGGCCCAACCTGCTTTTATTTAACGCTCCTCCAAGAGGCTTTTTTAATTTGTTGCCAACGATGGTATCGTGCCAATGATCGTCATTAAGTAATCCATAAAAAATGCGCATTCACGATGCGCTCGCGTTGTCGTAATAAAATGACTTATTGATTTATCATTATATCAGAGGTTCATAAGTCGGGTTGTCGGTGCGAGTTTGTGCCGGGCCGGTGCGCGGTGCGCTAATCCCGGCCGTACGGTCTGCCGCGGCGCCGCGGTCGCAACCATCTCGCGCCTCGCCCTCGACGTCTCATCTTCTAAGAAAAATAAACTGTATTTGTTACAGCACTCTCGTAATCGCCGCTTTTATTGTTTATCCCTCGCCCCAAAGCGGAGTGATCGCATCGCCGTGGGCGTAAAGACAACAATCGCACGTATCACACTATACGTCCTCTTTTGCTGACGCTCCCGAAGAGGCTCTCGATAATATTTTATAAGACAAATAACCCGATAAAGATGTTTTGACGTGAACCCGTGTTCATCGCTCACACTAAAATGCGCCCAGTGAACACGTATAATAAAATATTTATTAAGGATATTTTGATTTCGGCCGGAAAAAGAATAAGACGGGTCTAATTTAGTGTCAACTTTATTGGTGGCGAGTGACGCGTGAAGGCTCGCGGTCGGGTGCGCGCGCGATGACAGGACTTAGCGGCGGACCTTACTTACATCCATTAGCATTGTTTTAAAGGATTAAAGTGACGTTTACGTGGGCTTTGTGGGGCAACGGCGACCTGCCGATCAACACGCATATTTTTATGACACATGCCTTTTTTGAGTCAACAAATTATCAGTGTGAAATGACTACCGGCTAAGGAGTTCGATAAGGTAATCCCGCTTTGGAATTGTTTCAAAATAGTTTTAAACCTTATAAAATAGATAGTTTTCGTTAGAAAATTTGATTTTAAACTTTATAGTAATTAAAATATTGTA